CATCGAACCTGGGTACCTGAGAGACCGCCTCCTGCCAATTACCTCCCATAGACCTATCAGATCGCACAGACTAGGTCTCCTCCGGATCCTATCTGCCAGCAAATGTCAGCTGGCGACTCCCCGGGGGAGAGCCTTCTCTGTTGCAGCTCCAGCCCTCTGGAATGAGCTCCCTGTGGAGATCCGGACCCTTACTACTCTCACGGCCTTCCGCAAAGCCACTAAGATCTGGCTGCTCCGGCAGGCCAGAAGGGCTGTTGAAATAGCCAGCCCCAGGGTAACTATGAATGTTGTGTATTTTAAATTGTTGTTTTGTCTATTTGTCTATTTATCCCCCTCCCCTGTTTATTGTAAGCCGCCCGGAGTCCTTCGGGAGTGGGCGGCATACAAGACCAGTAAAATACAAATAATACAAATAAATACTTTTCACAACTAGAAAAACAGTACCAAAAAACCAGTATGGAGCCAGTTCTTAAAATCTGAACAGCAGGCATCAGATGAATCATATATATCATGCTAAGTAACGAAGACGATTGTTCAGTATTGATTTAGCATATGAATCCCTTATAGCTTGTTCACTAGATAATGATTAAAGAAGACATGATTGACTTGGATGGCTGATTCCAGATACTAAGAGTTTACAGCTGTGATCTTGCTAAAAATAAAGTAGCTCAGTGCAAAGGGCTACTGTTTTATTCTGTTTACTACTATATTTGTAAATAAAATGAGTCTTCAGTATTCTATACTAATGGAAATTGAAGGTTATGTATTTGAAATCATTTAGCAAAATTGGACAAAACAATGGTGTGTTTAGAATAATCATAAGAAGCTGATCGTTTTCTATTATGCAATTATCTGAGAGAGAAACCTAGTTTTACAAATTAAATATCTAATTATTGGTCAGCTGTGTTCTTCTTAGGTTCCCAAAGTGGAAGGCATGATTGATTTCCATGCTTTGGAGAAAGAGCTGGAAGAAGCTATTGCCACAGATGAGAAATACCAGAGAGAAAATGAGGCTAAATTCCGAGCGGTACATCAGAAAGTATCATCTTATGAAGAATTCAGGTTTCTTAATTTTTAGAATCCTCTATTGATTTGATGCAGAATATGGATAAAAACATTTATTTATGAGGGCAATTTGCTTTGAATTTAGCAAACTTATTGAACCTATAATAATTAAATTAATAATAACTATAAGTTTTGTAAGTCTGGTTATTTTTAAAATCTGAACTAGATGAAAGCACAATATTTATTTATTGTGCTTTATTTTCATACTAACTGATTTTTTTCAGCTGCCTTCCCTCTGTTCTATTGGTGCTGAGAAAACGAGTAGTTCTTTAATTTTATTTCATTGCATGTAGAACATTGGATGATATATTTACACACTGAATAGCAATTTAACTATTAATAACAGAATCTAGGAGATTTTCTTATCCAGTACTCTTATCTTATGCAGGAAATGTACTACAACACTGGAAAAACATTCATTCTGTGATAAGTGTTAGCAACATAGTGCAGTTTTCATTACTTTCCATTTTAATTTCTGCATACCTTAGAGAAAGAAGCCAAATAACAATTAAATCACTCTGCTTCCTGCTATTTTGCGTAATATATCAGGGAAACAAACAACAATTGGAGTACATAATGCAGAGGCTAGAGTTACCAGTTAAAGTTGAAGAAGCAGAGGTGTTCTCTTTACTGCATTTTTTCTCTTACGTGTTGCAATATCTATTGTGTATTGCATATTGTGTATTACATATTGTAAGTTATCCATAGTTTTATATGGTAGATTAGCCTTTCCCATAAACTAGCAGTTAAGAGGCCAGGCAAGACGTATGATATAACTTTCCTATTTCTTTAATAATTAGATGAAATGAGAATTTAGTAGCTTTAAACCAAGTGGCTATGGCTAAATGGTTATCTGTAATGTCTCTAGACTCTTCCTCCATTCTGTCTGCAGAGATATTGTTCTAGCTTCCCATTTGAAACCTCTGGAGAAAAAGGACAAAATGGAATGTGGCAGAAATGTGTTGTGGAACTCCTGTGCAGTTAAAGCAAATCACAAACAAGAGAGTAAGATAGACTTGCCTCAGGTAAGAGTAATTCTGTCTATGAACTGAAATGTTTCTCCAAATATTTTTTAAAATTAAATATGTTTTAATTTTTTTATGTAGGAACTAAAACTAGAAGATTATTTTTTTCATTATTTGAATAAATCTAACAATACTATAGAATAATTATTATTCTATCTTATCCTATCCTGTCCTATATCCTACCCATCCTATCCATCTTTCTAATTTTTATTGTTTTGTTGAAGAATTATACCCCAAAATATACAGTTGGAGCAGATATATTTTTAAGAGATGATGCTTTTGTATTCTGCTTTTTTCCTTTTTGATCTCTTCTACTTCTGATTGCTCATCATTAATTAATATATTGTGCCATTTTTGTTTTAAAAAATCTGTTTCTAGCAGCCCTGTTTAAATTACAGTTTCCATAAAACATTAATTGATACTTAAAAAATGAAGAAAGTATTAATTGTGGAGTTGGGAAGTACAATAATATCTAGGCAATGAGACTATGTCATTTTTAAAAACTCTCTAGGAATTAGAAAGCCTGCCTGAGACTTCTGCAGAGTTCTACAGAGATTGGCGCAGATGTATGAAAAACAATCAGGATCGCTATCTCCTCCTCCTCCAACTTGGAGCCCAAAACTTGGGCCGGATCTTCCAAACAGATCTTGCCTTTGGCCTCTTAGGTGAATTTCTAGTGGTGCTGAACCAAAATGCTTCCATTAAAGACTGCAATTTTATCTTGGATATCTTGGAGAATTTATCAGGCACCAAACGTTTTGGACTGAACATTGAACTCCTTAGTGAGAAAGAGAAAGAAAACTGCAGGCAATTGTTTGAAAAATTGCAAAAAATAGAAAATGACCTTGGCAATTTTTCTGAAATTCAAGAGATTCCAGATGAAGATGGTACAGATGCTACTCAAATCCATTGTCAAGGACGTAAAGGAATTGGAAAAAAAGTGTTAAAACTGATGAACCTTTACCAAATCTCCTTGATCAATTCTTGAGTATAATAACTAATAACTAAAGATGGAAACATTGTAATATAAAAAAAGACTAGAATGCCTATTAAAAACATACCTATCAGCCCTTTTAGTATATATTGGAAAAATAAGAGCATATGAAAAATAGATACCTAATCAGAGAGGCTCACTTCTTGCTTTTTGTCTCAATTGCATTAAATATTATATGAACTTAAACCATTATCAGCTTAAAAGTATGCATTATTTATTTTGGAATACTTTTGTCATATTTCTTATTACACATCTTGATTGATCTTTTGCTTTAGTTAGAAGGCTTAGTCATTGAAGTATGAAAGACACTACTGACAACTCGGATGTTGGCTCTTTGAGTATATTTATATAGAGGCTTTTTTGACTAATAGGTAAGCATAGCAAGCAATGCAGCTGAAATCAGAGAGAAGGATTTTTAATTCACATTGGAGAACCTGAATGTTTACATTTATAGATAAAACAGGCCATATGCCAAGAGATTGGGGAGCAGCAATTATCATACCAATTTATAAAAAAGGTAATAGAAATGACCCAGGCAATTATAGACCCATTAGTCTTCTGAGCGTTATTAGTAAACTATATGCCAAACACCTAAACTATAAACTTCAGGATTGGCTAATTTCAGGGAGGATAATCAAAGATGAACAAGCCAGTTTTAGAGAAGGAAGATCTAGAGTGGATCATATTGTAGTACTCCACCATTTAGTACAAAAATGCACATATAAAAAAATCCTCTTTTTGTGGCCTTCCTTGATTTTAAGCAGGCCTTTGATTCAATATCCAGGATCACCCTCTGGGAGAAATTAAAATGCACCACTATCAATAAACACCGCCAATCCCTCATACAAAAATTGTATGCAAATTCCACCTTGAAAGTGACATGCAATCCCCAAGGGAGTTTAAAGGTACAAAAAGGGGTACAGTTGCATCCTGTCCCGCTCCCTCTTTAACTTCTATATTAATCCCCTGATTGATCTCTTATAGAACCATAATTTCCATCCTCCTAATCTAGCACAACGCAAGATTCCAATTCTCTTGTATGCTGATGATGCCGCTATTATTTCACAAACCACCTATAGGACTGAAGAGAGCAATTAGGGCAACACTCGGCCATTGCAGGCAAAACAAGCTTTAACTTTGATAAATCAAAAATTTTAGTTTTTGCTAAAAGACCTAGCCAATACCCCTGGAAAATAGAAGGACATAGTTTACAACAGGTTAGAACATTTAGATATCTTGGGGTGGTTTTCCACTTGCAAGGGACATGAAAGGCACACCAAGATCATACATTGCAAGCAGCCAATAGGTCCTCAAATGCAATTAAACACTTCTTTTACACAGGCAGAGGTCAGTTAGTACCTGCTCCCTTAAAACTTTTTGAGGCCAAACCATTGGCACAAATTCTATATGGGGCAGAAACAGGAATCCATGCAAAGAAAGACTTGCTAGAAACCATACAAACCAAATTCCTGTGAGCAATCTTAGCGGCACCCAAAGGAACTTCAAATGCCCAGTTAAGGCATGCCTCAAATTCAGGTAAGAGCCTGGAAGATGATGATCATTCATTGGTTTAAAATGCATTTCTTTCCAGAGGGACTGTCCCCACTAGTGTTGACTGACAACTTCAGAATCGGCAAGATATCTAAATGACCTGATTTTCCCAAAACAAAGAATAGCTTTCTTCAGAGCAAGATTTAACATTCTTCCCTCAGCACTCCTCAAGGGCAGGTATAAGAGAACACCAATAGCAGAACAGGTTTGTATATGTGATAAAGGAGAAGTTGAAGATATCTCCCATGTTCTATTACACTGTGAGCTATACAGAGTTTGTAGATCTGCACATATTATCCCCTTGCTGCAATGTCCACAAGAAAAAAACTAGTTACAGAAGTATAGTTGTCATCTTGTACCAATTATTTGAACATATCTCTAACAATTTCTGGACCATTGTATTTACTCCCTTACTTACCGGCTTTTCACCCAGGTAAATCAGGGAGTGACTCAAACAATTTGAGAACATGTATGTTATTATCCACTTTTAATGTCAATACTTTTTAATTATATTTTAATGTCAATACTTTTTAACATATTGTGAAAAGTAATGTGTATTGCTGGTCTTTGACTGTAATAAAGATTTATACAATACTAAAAAAATTCTTTACAGCTACACAATTTCAGTGACAAAAGTATGATAGATTGCTTGTCTGCTCTATTTCTAGGTACTCACCATAGCAATAATCCAGTGAACAGTTTGGAAGCAAGCTTTTGAGTATCTGCAATATTCTGACACATTCTGTTATAGCAAAAATAGTATTGCATCTCTAGGGTAATATTAACTTGATACTACTGTATATTAGTTGGAATTTCAACTAACTTAGTCTTGATAGAGAAAATTTTTAAAAAACTGTTATTCTCAACAAAGCAATAAAACACTGGAGAAGAAATTTAAAGTTGTTTTGGATCATGTTATTAGATGGAACTGTCCTATACCTAGAATTTATACAGTACTTAATCTTTACCCTATGTATTCTCTTTCATCCTTCCCATCAGAGATGCCACATATATCTGAGATGCCTTAGCAAGCTGAGAGTGCCTATAGCTCTTCATTTTCATTCATCTTCATTAGTTTATTAAAGATCAATATGCAAACTATGCATTGTCAAGAAATTTGCTATTATTAAGTGATCATATTGTTTGGATTTGTATCATCTTGGGCACACTGACGTAGAAACAGCAGTATAAAAAGATATTAATGTGAAAGTAGTAGAAAGCAGCATAACACCACATCTGTGCTTCAACCAAGAAGATCAGATTTGGGGGCTTAGCATTGTCATTTGAACATAAGCAAATGAGCTGTAAGAGGAATATTATATTATGCCAAAGTGCATATGTTTTTTATCTAATTCAGAAGTGCCTTGGACTTTCCTCAGAGCTATTTAGGCAGGTTTTGGTTCCAATTCAAATTATAATACTCATACTTAAAGCAAAAACAACAACAACATGATTCTTTCAGATTCACTTGTATCATTGTCCCAATCTCTACATCGGTTGGTGTTCCACAAAATATATTGTATAAGCTTCAGCCATCAAAAGGCTATCTACATCACAACTGTGTTAATTCATCTTAATGGTGATTAACTCTGAACTATATAACTTGATATGTTATGAAGTTCTATTTAGAGTATACTATAGTAGTAAAATATCATAAATAATGGGGTGGGGAGGTAGATAGTTGGAAGGAAAGAATCTGTTTAAGTCTTCTTCCCCAAAATTATTTAATATATTACATTAAATCTTGGTAAAATGAAACAGTTAATGAAATAATTGATGATTGAGCAGTCTAAGACTATTATGCAGTTCTGTCAGATGATCAGTTCTGGGGAACTTGAAGGGGAACATGCATATGCATATCAGCCTGAAATACCAATCAGCACCTCTGATCCCATCCACCATCACTTTCAGCATAATGGATACAGTCTTTAACATTACAATAGTAAAACAAATAATGCCTTATGATATCCTTTCAGTCATAGGCTGGTAGACTGGAAATAAGACGAATATTTGCCATGAATAGCTGACAAAACACAAAAACCAAACAGGTTGCGAGGTGTGTTAATATTGTAGTTTACATTAGGTGTAAATGGGAAAATGCTTTTTGTTCCTCAATTGCATTAAATTCATTTAAAGAATTACATAACTGATTTTTTTATTAAGATGATAGGAAATATTTTTTACATTGCAGTAATTATGCTACAGAAATGGCAGTACAGTCTGAAAATCTCTAACAAAAACAAAATGTAGTCCTAGGTTTTCTGATTATGAGACAGCTTCATTTATACAATCAGTCATAATGGTTCTCAAGGGCTTAGTTTTGTCCGTATCAGAACTTAGTTGGCATTCTAGAACTAACACAAGTAATTCCAGAGTCTTTATTTCTTATGAAAGTGTAATATATACTATATGATACACATTGCTAACAAGTCCACTCTGAAAGAATTGGAACAACACCAGCAATTCTAGAATGAAGGCTTTCTTCATTGATATGCATTGTTAAAATGTAAACTCCAGAATTTGTAATTAGCCTCTTTTATAGAATGTGGAAACTGTTGGGTAATATATGAACAGCTATCAAATGGTGTCATCAGGATGGGCTGTTATAGCTATGGTATTTGGCATTGCTGATGTTCTTCATGCCTTTGCTATAATGGAAAAAGAAGATGTGTTCAAGAAGAATCCTTGCCCAGCTTTCTTGATGTTTGAGAATGCTGCTTACTTGGCTGATATGAGTTTTGAATTGCCCTGTAAATGTAAGCCAGAGGAAATAACTTCTGTAGTTTGGTATTTTCAAAAAAGCATGGGCAGTCAGCAAACTAAGGTGCTGACAGATTTTGATGGCACTTTGATAATAGATTCACACCACATCAAGATAGGCAGTGACATGCTTCGTCGTTTCAGCATTAGGATGTTCAGTCTCATTGTTTTCCGGATTCAAGTGGAAGATTCAGGGCATTATATTTGTGGTACAAAGAAAGGTGATTTCTTCTATGGTTATGATATAGATGTACAGCCTTCAAGGAGAATAGCTGTTGTCTTTGCAGATGAGGGACAGCATCCACAGAATGACCTCCATGAAACAAATTTCACGGTCCTCACAATTTTCTGGGACTGGACTAAATGCAACCGCTGTGATGTTAGGGGTGAACAACGGAGAATTGGGCTTTGCTATGTAAAGAGTTCTTCTCTGTTCAGGCGGTACCATACCAGTATAGAAGAGGTGGCATCTTGTGGCTCAAAGTCAATCCCAAAGAATTTATTTTATGGTATTCAGATGAGAAAACCTGAAGTTGTAATACGAAGTTGCATGGTATCTTGTAAGGGGAAGACATCTTCAAATGAAGGAGAAGCACCCATTTCAAATATTATCTCAAAGCTTGGAGAAAAACCTTGGGTTTCCAACATCCCTATTCAATTCCACAGGCAGTCCCTTGGCAGAGGATTGATCATTTCTTGCCCTGGTGCTAGGCCAGAGCACGCTGTTGCCTGGGATAAAGATTCAACACGATTATATCTCAGTAGGTTTCTCACTGGGGTTAATAAGACCATGAGGATCTTCATTGACCATGGAAATCATCTCCACATTCGTTTTACCCAGAAGAATGACAAAGGTATTTACTACTGCTGGCGAGAAGGAGAAATAGTTGCTGGATTCCGGCTATCTGTAGTATATGAAAGTCGCCACAGACGAAGCTTTGATGATCCTGAAACTCAATATGCTATTAAGGCTATTATCACAAGCTATGTGCTCATCACCATCTTCTTTATCATCATTCACATTGTTCGCTGTTGCCTCTACGTGTTTAAATGTACAGATATGGAATAGCATCTCAAGAAAATGACTATAATGGCCTAATAAGTGATGATGATGATTTGTCTCACAACTAATTTGATAATTAATTGAGCAATTGTGTATTTATTAATTATTTCAGTTTAAGAACACAGTGCAACTCTCACTGAAAATAAATTTTAGTCAATCAGCTTTCTTAAATATGAGAGCTAATATACAATGAGTAAGCAACTGTTAACAGAAGGCAGGGACACTAACATGTTTTCATTATATGGCAATATGAACGGTTATTTTAATTGTAGAATTCTCTGCCATAATAATACCCCAATTAGTAAATCAATTTAAAATCCATATGTATTGTGAAAAATCCAGAAAATAGTTAATTGAGCACTGTCAGTCTGAAATTCCTGTTGCTGGATTAGTACAGGTTCGAATATACTTGAACATTATACATGTATCACAAATCTGTAGCTGTCACACTTAGGGCAATTATTCTGTTGACAGTTGAAAGTAGATGTGTAGTTCATTTCTTATCCAGTTTAATTGATGTAACAAACTATTTTTTGCATCTTTTATCTTAAAAGAAACTTCTGTATTTTGTTTGTGTACATGTTTTTATATATATATTTTGTTTCTTTGTAAGCCACTATAAGAATTATTTGGAGAATATCTAATAAAGAAACAGAATAAGAAGTGAAAGTCTAAAGTAATTTTTTGATGTAATGTTTAATTGTAAAAGAAATACAATAATAAACAAGTTTGCAATTTTAAACAATGACATTGCTATGGCCTCATTATACTTTTAGTTTCTATTAAGCATTTACATACAGTCTTCTGTAAAACTATAGTTAGAAGTTCATCTATTAGTATAAATATGCAAGCATGTTTATGTGGATACAAAGCAGAGTATGGAACTTACAAAATATTTTGGCATAGTGGTTCTAAAAGGAATACATCCAAAATATTAAATAGTCATAAAGTTTAATCATGTATATATGCTAGTGTTCGTACAGCTAGTTTTGCTGGAAAATAGGTGAGTTGTGTGTAACTCTTTATGGTGAAAATTGATGAGCTATCATATTCCCTACTTTTATTTTTTAAAAGAAAAATAAAGGTTATGCCATTTCTTTCATAGTCACAGCTACTAATTTAAACATAGGAGAAAAGAAGAGATTATGCATAAACATCATTCAGTATTCTTTTCCAAAGTACCATTAAAAACAACAACAACTAGTCATGTAGTCCATGCATAAGTGCATGTAACCCAGGGAATGGATTCAAAAGTGAAAAATGCAATTAGTAACATTTGTTTAACAATAGATAAGTGACAGTGTTCATATGGCCATCTAAACTGATAATATAAGAAATTTATGTCTCTAGATTTATGTGTTATTTCGTTAAGCAGGCTGATGTTTTAAAATTATGCTTGAACATATAACTGATATAATGGGTGGAAAAACTCAGTCGCTCTTCAAAATCCTTTCCCCTCAAATTGTGTTCATTTAGTTTTTGTTTTTTTTAAGTTGCCTCAATGTTTCTTATAGGCATGCTCTGTGAAAGACTAGTTGCCTTCCTCCTTCTTTCCTAGTCAACCCATCTTGGGAAATCCTAACTTCTGTTACTGGCTTACTTGTATCTTTTCTGCTCTGCAACTGAATTCTGTTTTGCTTTAAGCTGAAGCAATGACAAAGAATAACCCTGTGAGTCTTCAGTACAGAGTGAACTGTTATTTATAGCTAGGGTAGGCTTTAGCCAGAATTCTTAGGGAAACTGGAAATCATCATTCAGTAACCTTAAAAGCAGAGGTGGGTTGCTCCCGGTTCGGCCCGGATCAGTTGAACCAGTAGGAGCGGCGGTGGGAGGCTCCGCCGTCCACCCACCCAGACACATGTGCGCCCAAACCAGTAGTAAAAAAATTGGCAAACCACCACTACTTCAAACTGCCATAGGTTGCCTAGCTCTGATTTAGAGCAATTGCTTCAATATTTGAGATCAATCATACCAATTTTTATTTCTTCATTGACTTGATTAAGCCAAATGAAATTCTATCAAGCATTTTCCTGCCAAACCTCTAATCTTATAGGCATCTTGTCACTTCCCTTCGTGAATACCTAACCTTTCCTCCTGTATCTTCCTCTCTTCTGCCACTTTGTCTTTTGATGTTTCTCCCATCACTTCTTGTCATCCACTGCACACCATCCGCCTAGAGTCAAATGGCTAGTAGCACTCAGAGGAATGCAGCTATGTCCTCTTTTTACTTGGATCATAACACGTACAATTTACTGAATATAAATCACGGGACCATCAATTTGGAAGATACTAAAAGCTATAAGAAATCAGCATTCAGTGAAGTTTTAATGCTTTCTAATTATTTATAATAATTATAAATGAGATACAGTTACAAATTCTTAGTTTGGTCAGTATCTTTCAACATAATCTACAGCACAAGATTGCTTGGATAAAATAATGGTAGGGTCAGGGTTAGGATCATCTAATATCTTAATTTCTTAAAAGAAAACATGGGCTATCAGTTGGAGCTAATGGGAAGGCAATTTCATTTTACATTTACTGTCAGCCGGCATCTGGATTTAAACCCATATGAACCTGCACAGGAGAGATGCTTTTTGTTCATGTTCAACAGGTACTTCTCTCCAGTTTTGACTCTCCTGGATAACTGCAAGGATCAGGGAAGAAAGTGATTGAGAACTAAGGCTAAGAACAGAAAAGGAACTTGTTCCATTTCTCTAGCTATTTTAAAATTAACTGAGTGGAGGGAAATCGAGGAACAATTAAAACAGAGAAATTGTGATTTCTAAAATAATAGGTGCAGTTATTTTTTATCTAGAAATTTTATATTACAGTCTTATCTGAGCCAAAGCCAAAAAGTTTTATGGGGGTGGTGTTATTTATTTTCTTTGTATAAGATCAGTGATTGTATTATACAACTTGGAATCTCTTTACAGCAAAGAGGTCTCTAAAATAGGAATAGAAAAACATCTTTTGATACGCACATAGCCATATATTCCCCTCCCCTTTTTTCCGATGGGGAATTTTTTAAAGTCAGGATCTGTGATTTGAACAATCCTATATTTTTATTTCCCTTTTCACGTATTTTTGCGTGGGAGTTCTTAAAACTGAAACAGTATTTTTATATTCCCCCCCCTTTTAAAAATAAAAATAAAAATGTATTTAATTCTCCTTTGTGAGATTGATCTCTCTCAAAGAGGAAAAGGAAGAAGGGCTTCATTCCTTAGTGCTACAGACACATTTCAATTTTTTCCTCATTTTCCTCTTATTTTTCCAAGCACTACTCCAAAGAGGGAGATTGAGCTAAGACATATAGACTAATAGGCTTTCTAGGAGAAAGAGTTTGAGACCTCTACATGTTCACCATATACGTTCAGTCATTTCCATACATTAATGAAACATGGAACAGATTTATCTAATTTGGAAACTGCTATCCATCATAACCAGTAAACCAGTACACAGGATAATAGAGAGAAGGCATACATACTATAGGAAACAAATTTTAGCCACTACTTAGATTTTACTGGAATTTTCCCCAAAGTATATAGCAGTCAAAGGTGAACCAAATGAATTGCTATGAGGGAAAAATGCAAGATTAATGGATGTAAGTAAAATATTAATCACTTATTCATGAATGATAATTTTAAAAGAGAAAGGAGTTTCTGTTGCAAGTTCCTTGTGCTCTTGGAAGAATGTCCACATGTAATTATAACAAATAAATAAATTCTATATTATCTGAAGTAAGCAAACCACAACTGGAATTATTATTTTAAAATAAAACTTGTCTCCTGCTGACCAGGATTCCCTCTTACAAAGGTACAAGAAGCCCTTGGGAATCTTTGCATATTTTTCCTAGAAAAGGAGATAAAACTTCCTCATGAATTATTTTCATTATAAACTCATAGTAGGATATTTTGCCTCCAAATTTCAGTCTGTTATACATTTCGTAAAATCATGTTTTGCCAGAAAATGTGAGTAATCTCAACACAAAATCCAAGGTGGGTATGCCACATGCATTAGTTCTCTTGTCCTCAAGTAATCTATTTGATTTAATGACTAAGAAATAATACATCTAACCTTTACTATCTGTGACATACATCTTCAGTAAAGAAGCTGACTTCTAAATTATACTCCCTTTAGGTCAATTATTTTCACACATAAACATAACCAGCAGTTTCAGCAGTAACATAATTCCTATTCATTTATTGGTTCTAATGAGAAACATCAAGTTATAGCTGTTAACAAGCCAGCCCAGAACAATTATTTAGCAAAATACATGTAGTCCTTGACTTATGACTACAATTGAGCTTTCTGTTGGTGAGATTTATTAAGTGAATTTTGCCCCATTTTACTTGCCATATTTGTTAAGTGAATCGTGGCAATTCTTAAATTAATAACACAGTTGTTAAGTGAATCTGGCTTCTCCATTGACTTTGCTGGTCAGAAGGCCACCAAAAGGGATCACATGACCCTGGGACACTTCAACCATCATAAATGTGAGTCTGTTGCCAAGAGTCTAAATTTTGATCCCATGATTATCGGGATGCTGTAATGGTTGTAAGTGTGAAAAACAGTTAAATCTCACTTTTTAGCGCCGTTGTAACTTTGAACGGTCACTAAGTGAACTGTTGTAAGTTGAGGATGACCGGTATAGCCAGGTCTAAATACTGTGCTATTTGGGGTACTCCAAAGGGCACTGCAAGAGAAATATTGAAGATAAAAATAAACTCAAAAAAGCCATTATAGTCAGCTGAAGCACCAGCTACTGAGTTATTTGGTTATTTTCTGGCATGGTGATTAAATTTGCATATTTCTTATTTTCAATGGTTGCTGCAGATCCAAAACTGTTTCTGTGCCAAGGTTGAAGACTAGAAGGATGCAAAGCTCTCTTAGCATCCTAAGCTAGAAAAATTCTTCCATGTACTGGTTCTTACTTCATGCCACTTCCTTCTGTTCTTGGGTGGACTCCTTGATCACCTACAATGTTTGGAGAGAGTGTGGAAGTTATATCAGTTGGTGTTAATTGCAACATTTTGTTTAGACATGCTTCATTTTGCATTCTTTTTAAAAAAAAATCAAAATACCATAGTTCTCTACCAATAATTATCTACCAATAAATAGAGTTTAAAATATAGAATCATAGAATCTATGACCTTGGAGATCTTTTAACCCAACTCCTTGTGCAAGGCAGGCGACGTTATTCCATCCCAGACAAATGGTTGTGCAGTCTCCATCAGCGATAGAACTTCTACAACTCTGGGAGGCAAGTTGTTCCATTGAATAATTGTTCTCACTTTCAGGAAGTTTCTCCTTAGTTCTAGATTGAATCTCGCACTGACTAGCTTCCACCCAATTGTTCCTGCCCTGCCCTCAGATGCTTGGAAAATAAACTGACACCCTCTTCCCTATGACAGCCCTTCAAACATTTGGTTTTCACTCATTTTTATCTTAATACTAAAAATTAAGCAATTAATCCATCTTTCAGCTCTTCTTATCGCAATAATACCTTCATGTATTAATTTAACTGATGGTTTGTAATATACATGCTAGTATGAACATGTTGTACCTGTCACCTGAATGACTGGTACTACATGTAAGTGACACATAACCACATGCAAACAAAAATTTTAGCTAAGAAAGATTTTAACCAACTGCAGTCTGTCTTATAAGCACAAGAGGGCACTTGAGATTCTACTCAACTCCAGCTAAGAAAAAAGACTAATAAAATAGAAAAAACTCCCTTAGCCTATTTATATTGTTGTTGTATTTGTTTGGCTTTTTAAAAAAGTAAATGTGAATCTTGGTGGATAAGATCTCATCACATTTGCTTGATTAAGAATCTTCCTTCGGTCTTCCTTTAGCTCTGGTTTGTTTTTGTTTTTGTTTGCTATTGGGTGAAAGACAAATTTGTAAAGCACTTTGAAGGGGAAATTTGGCCTTAGCTGAAAGACCTAGTAAATTTCTTTTCCATAAGCTTCATGTTCAAATGCCTTCTTCTATATCTTCAGGTATATTTTTAGACAAGTACAATCCTTCTATCACTTTCAGAACCGCATCATAGGCTTTTCCACACTTATAAAGATAGGCCTTTGCCACAGGCCTTCCAGCAACTGGAATATTAATATCTTCATCCCTGGTCTCTTGGAAACACTGCAAAGACCAATTTCAATATTTCCTTGATTTGCTGGGTGAATTGTTTCATGGCTCCTCAAGTTTTCCCAAGAAAGGTCTTGCTGGTATTATCCCATCCTTGTTTTCTAGCTATTCCGTGAAGCAGTTTTGTTATGGCCTTCAATGATCTGTTTTTGTTTATTGGCAATTTTAAGGAGAAGTGTTTCACCACACAGTGGTAATACACTGCTGCTTATGATTGGCAGGCAAAGCAAATGCAGGAAAAGGACATGTCTAATTTGACCTAGGAGGTATTAATAGAAGAGAATATTTGTAGCTCAGGGTATGGGATGTTTGATGTTCTCTGGATTTGGTAATTTCTTTGCAGATGTTTCATTACCAAACTAGGTAATATCATCAGACTAATAATGTTGCCTAGTTTGGTAATGAAATGTCTGAAGGAAAACAACCAAGCTCAGAACAATTTACAGTGAACTGTGCACGCGCAGTCACTAAAATCCAAAATGGTAGCCGCCCAGCAGCAGCAAGGGAAGTGATTCAGGGGCCTGTCAGGCCTGGGTCGCTGCCAGTTCTGCAACCCAGGCCTGAATTACACTACCGGTTCAGCCGAACCAGCAGCAACCTACCTCTGCTCCAGGGTATTCCACCGTCACTAAGTTCGTTATAGTGAGAAAGTAAATCAAAGTCTTGCTCCTCAACCAAATCACACAAAAAATGGTCTTTTCACTAGGTATTACAGCTCTCTTGAGCTTAGAGGTGGTTTATTCTCCCCTAGCAGACTATATTTTATTCTCCTCCTCCACCAGAAGTTCAGCTGCTGTAGTCTTGTTCTCAGCTTTCTGAGGTGGATGGAAGTGAAGATTTCAAACTTCACTTGAGGTATTGGGGAATGGAAAGTTCCCAGGAGGAAAAATGTTTTTAAACTATAAATAGGAAATGCTCCTTTTGAGTGAGCCACTAGCTTAAAATGAAGTTGATTTATCTTATAAATGTGATTGAAATACTTTAATATACATGAAACCCACTATGTATTCCTAAAGATGATGATGATGATTCAAGTCGTATAGTTTCTGCATGCTAATCCAAAATGATCAGACTGAGAAGGTTAGGCAGGAAATTGATTCATACTCTACCATCTGCTGCTCATCATATTTGCTGATGTGTAAATTAAGGAACCATTATGTTTTCCTGGATAGCTAAACATCTCTCTATAGTGAAAAAACTAAACCATGGTCAGCGCCTTCAAAATGACAATTGGTTTGCATAATTCCTTTTCTATTCACTTTCAGAAATTGCTTATTAACTACTTTTCAGCTATTAGAAACCTTTGGATTGACAAGTCTGAAAACACTGGGTGAGTCTGCCTTTAATCCTTAATAAAAGAAAATTTTAGCTACAAGTTTAAGAATATTTTTTTAAAATAAACAGCAAAAAGCTCATTAAAACTTTTATTTTAGAAAATTATAAATGGTTAAATTTGCAGATAATTTGAAATAAGTTTTAGGAATTAATTATAAAGAATTCTTCCTATGGGAAAAGTTGATTTGTTGTAATTTTTTCTATGACATAAAAGAGATAATCAATTTTTAAAAAATGGACACTAGAGGGAACTAAAGATTTTAATTAAAAATAAACCTGAATAACAGCTACAGAATATTTAAAATATTATAACACTGAAAATGCTAAAATATATTTTTAATAAATGGAATCTGAAGTTAATATCAACAGTGTCAGTAGTGATGTTTACTTCTATGGATAGACTGTCTAAAAGATGTTTTGGAAAAAATGCCAGAAGAGGAAAACAGACTGAGTTGGCACTGAAGATGGATCTACAAATTACAGGTTATAAGAATGACATGGAAAAAGATGCTTCATTGGGAAAACAAAAAAAACCTGGTTGATGCTTTAAAAATCAGAAGGAAATTTCAAGTAATAAATCAAGAGAATGATTCATAATCTTTTTATATGAGGTTGGTTAAAGCTTGGATGAGAACAGATAAAAAAGAAATAAAAAGAAATTTATATCTACATTACCTAAATGGATTAAAAATTAAGATTGTTAGAAGTAAAAGGAAGGAATATGAAGTCAGTTTATTTACCAAGGATAAAATAGATATGTTGTTATTACTGGCAACCCTTAATGATACAATAATTGAAATATTAATACTTTCTGTTCTGTTTATAGATACGAGTTGAGACATGAGATGAAGAAATCATGGGTGGTAAATTAAAGGTTTAAAAATTATCAAAATTGTTTATACCTGTTATGATGAGGATCCTTTGCATTTTTCTTTCTTTCTACTCTTACTTAGTTTGTATTAATTTTTACTACCGCAATTATAATCCTTAATAAAATCATTTAAAAAATAATTATTATAGAATTATATTTTCATTCTCTCCTAATTTCATTCTTCATACTCATGGCCATACATTAGTTCTAGAACAAGTAACATCATTTTTAATTGTACACACTCCTATTTATAAAATAGGAATCTTATCAATATTTTCATTGTGGTAAATTGGAGATATAGCAAGAAAGCAACTATACTAGAGTACTCTTAAATATTTAAAAAACAAGGAATCCCAGTACAGGAGGATATGGGAACTGTCTAAAGGTTTTATTATCTTTTATCATTTTATTGTTTTATTATTTTATCTTTTAAAACTGAGCAATAAGACTCTTATTGCAGTAATGCACAATGATATTATTTGTTATAATTTCAAGAAGGTTGGGGGAATTAATTATTGTTGTTGTCCTGAGAAAGAGAGAAAGATTTTTGAGCATTCTACTGAGTGATCTCAAAGTTGTTCTGTTTACGACATAATTTTCATGCCCTTTCCCCCTCTTGTGTTGATGCAATACGATGCTTATTGGTTTTGAGCTAAAGCAGATCCCTTAGTGCTGGCTATTTAAAGATTTGGTTCAACAAATTAGAATGATAAACATTAATTTGTCTTACTGGCACTTTATAAAGAAGCTTGAAAACTAAAAAGGATAATGTCATTTACCTATTGATGACAGAAAAAGATGAAAGAAAGAAACATCACAGACTAATAATCTGTAAATTAAGAATTTCTTAGCTGAAAGGGAATGAAAAATAATTAGGGAGATTCTGAGCAGATATGCTCATGGATGCTTCAGATGTTCGAAAAATAACAGGTCAAACTAGATTTTTCATTAAACATTTCATCAGATGAACTGTATGATAAAAAAATGGAAGGCTTTGAATGCATAGGTAGCTATTGCCTACCTCTCCATCTCTAGCTTCCACTGTTCTGATCACAATGCTCCTCTTCAGACGAGCCTCAGAAACTGACTTTGTGTCAAGGCTGGTTTCTGGTAAAGAGGGAAAGAACAACTGGGTCACTGCCACTGAGTATAAATTTGACTTGGGAGCCCTTGGCGATCTGTAGTGAGGTTTGAGACATGAAACCATAAGAGAAGTAATGACAAAGAAAATGCTGACTTTCTTAGAGGGGTGAGATGGGAAAAACCTGACTCTGATTAAAAAAAAAATCTTATCTTTTACTCTCTAATATTGTTTCATTGAATACCTAGCATGAAAACATGGAAGAAACTTTGCTAAATAGTGCTGCAAATAGGCTAAACAGAACTAATGTTGTTGGACATAACTAATCCATAATGACATTTTTAATGATAGAAGACATTAAAAATCATTTAAGGGTATAAGATAGATCCAATTTTTAGATTGGAATATTTTAAACAGTCTCTCCTAAATTAGACTAAACAAAAATGTAGTAATTTAGAAAGATGTATAAAAAATCAACACAAGAACAAGTAGCAGCTAACATAATAATGCTTCTGTGTTTCATGGAATTGATTATCAAGGGTAAGAATTTTTAAATGACTGGCTTGGAAGTCAGAAGCAGAGGTTTATCAGCAGAGTTGTCTATGCCAAGATAGGCAGCAAATAAATTTAAATAAATAAATATACAAATAAATGCAGTTTACTTTGTTCTAAGCTAGCTGAATGTCAGGACCTATAGTGTTTCTGTGCTGGATTGCAACAAAAGGCCTCGAGATGATCCAACATTCCAGCATTACTGAACTTGTTCACATTTGTGAAGAGGAGATAGTAAATTGCCATTGAAGAGTATATAACTTCCCTACAGATGCAAAAGCAAGGGAAAAGATACTCTGGATTCAGTTAATGACTTGAACAAGGAAGGATTTTTTTAAAAAAAAATTCTGATAAAAATCTCAATATTTGTGAAAGCTCTTCAGAATTATTGGACTTAAGAAGGAAATAAACAAGTTTATAAACAAGTTTGTTTGTTTTGATCCTTCTTATACTTTACTGTATTCTTTTTAATGTTTCCAGAGCTTTATTTTTTAAGTTATTTTATAATCCTAGAACTTTGGTTACTGAAAGGATTGCAAATAATAATAAGCATAATAATTATATTACCATAAAAGGCACTTTGCCAAGGTTCCTTGTTCCAAAGAAAATCAGCTACCGTACATAAAACCCTCTTTCTATAGCCCAATGTCAGAAAATAGAAAAACAAAACATTTAGTTCTTCAGGAAACAAAAAGTATTGATTCATGCAGGAGGGACCTGGAAGGAGAATGACCTGGAAGGAGAATAAATATCTCACCTCGGATCTGAAGGTTGGAAAAAGTCTGTACTGGGATAGTAATCCTGTAGAAATAAACAGGAAACAGTTGGTTTGAGAATTAAGTACTAATCTTTTCATTTTCCCCTTCTTTCCCAGTCTCTGTCCAGTTCATCAGTTAATTTCAGATTGTGTTTTAGACAAGGTATGAGACCAAAGAAACACTATTGGAAAAAAACCACAAATTTGACCAAGTTGTTGATCAAACTGAAATGAAATAGCAAAACAACCATTTTCCCCCCAGATTCCAGGATAAGAGTCAGGTGGTTTCCACACACATTCCTGAATGAAATGAAGAATTTTAGCATGGTGAATTTGGAATTTTGCGCATATATGATAAACTGTAATTCAGATGGACAGGGGCATGTCTTGTTTCAAACGTGATTGTATTGGATCACTTTTTAAAATATTAAACTGTGGATCTGACTAAAAGCAAGTCAACACAGAGATATATATTTTATCTCTCTCATGATGTTTCATAATCTTCTTCCCAGCTTCGGATGTAGACCTGATCTCCACAAGTACAATGAGCCAGAAGAACTCTAAAGGGAGAGAATAGATTATAATTTTAAATTGTAGATGCAAATTAGTATCTATCTAACTATATATTCATCCATCCGTTAATCTACCTACCCACCTACAAGCAGAAAACAGATTGAAATTGTTGATAGGTTCAACTTAATTAATTGGCAGTTAATTAGCAAGTTGGCTATCAGTTGGTAGTGCAATTCTACTCTGAGCTACCGTCTAAGGATGTAAGGCTAGGCAACTTGTACTGAGAAGGGTCCTCACAGTCCTTCTATGATCCACTAGAACAGGAGTCCCCAACCCCTGATCTGTGGACTGGCACTGATCTGCATCATGCTAGAAGCCAAGGTGGCACAGTGGTTAAATGCAGCACTGCAGGCTACTGCTAGATCAGCAGGTCAGCGGTTCAAATCTC